GGTAATTATGTAAACTAGTTCATTTGCTCAGATATCCTAAAAACCGTAGCCACAAGTCTCTAGCAACAGAGAATCCGTTAGTGCTTCCCAGAATCTTGAAATTTCGCTCATTTGTCGAAACCGCGGGGTTATAATATATTATGGTGTCATGATGTCGGATTCCGAGATAATTGAGCCGAATGACTACCGGGCAAATTACGACTTCATAACTTTATGTTCGTATAAGCTGGATCAGTCACGTTTACAATCTTAATGTTCTCATTAACACAAATAGCTATACCAGACAATGGCCTACCAATGGTTCATTATTGTTCGTTAATCAGCTTTAAGTTTCTCATTTCAGGACAAATCAGCGCAAGGTTTTTACATTTTTACTTGAAATTTTTTACTGGATTATTGGTACTTGACTTTGACTTTGCTGGATTCAATTAAGATTTTTTTTTATTCTTGTAGTACAGCTTGTGGAATCTCTCATTTTTAACCGCACAGTATGTAGTAGTATTTTGCTGAATAAGGGTGAATGAAGGTATCGTGTATATACGTGTTGAGCTCAGTTTTGCAGTTTGGTACCTCCCCATTCGACAAAATAGTAAAATTCGTCCACATTCGACGATATTTTCCCTTTCGTTTTCTATTATTATCATTTAGGGCAGTTACGAGAAAAATACCTGCTGAAGAACTCGAGCAATATTTTTTTATAGTTTAGTAGTGCTTTCGGCCAGTGTCAATCTGCCCAACTGAAGATCGCAATTGGAACACGTGACATATCAAGACACGAACTTCTGAGCACAGACAAGAAATAAGTTATACCTTGTCTCTGCAGACAGGCTTCCGGCTACACAAAATCATGGTACAAATGTTAGTGCATTAAATAGCACATGTAGGAGTAGCATACTTTACCCTTAAAATCAATGAAAGATATTAAATAAAATAATGCAGTAAAGTGAATTGTAATTAAAAGTATTATTATATTTTTAAAATTTCCAGCTCCATGCCATTGGTATTGGCCTCGATGGCTAATTGATATATACGTTTGGAATCATCACAGAGACTTGTAAATATTTACATTGAAATTAAATTCGTAAAAATACAATTTAAATGCCTCGTCTGAAATGTTTCTACTAACACTATAGTATTTCCACCATTTAATTTGGATTGATAAGCAATCAAACAGCAATTGAACAATTAACCAAACCAAGGTTAATGCTTTTCCAGCATGGCGCACAAATGCAAATTTTTAAATAATAAATAAACGGATGAACAATTATGAACACACAAAATCTGGCCCTAGGTTTAGACGTTAACTCATTTACTTTTTTGTCAACAATTTGTAATCAAGAACTATGCTAGAGGATTGAGCTAAGCATGGCTCACTCTCACTCAACTACTCAATTGAACGAAAACAACCCTGTCCAGAAGCAATCATGTGGAAAACAAGGCTAAACCGAGATGGAAATATTCGACGTAGTTCTAAATCCCCGATGTAGTATAAATGCAAATTTATTTTTTCATTTTAAAGTTTTCTACTCACTTGATGAGCTGGCCCAATATTCCCTTTCGAGTCAAGTGTCTAACATTGATCAGATTTTCCTAAAACTTAAACTTTATGTAATAGTGAAAAACGAACAAAATATTACGTTTTTGTTGGATGCAAAATTCCGGATAAAAGTCCTAGATTCCGGACATGCTTCAAGTCAAAGGTATTTGCTAGACAAAAGAATATATTATTTGAAAATTAACCTGCCCCTAAAATAAAACCATTTTTTCTGAATGTATGTCTGTGCTGTAATGCAAGGAGTATTACTTTTCTTCTCATAAAAGAGCATATCGATATATTTGCAATCGAATGTGCAAACACTTGTAGACTCTTAAAAAGGCTTCGATAAGGGCATTTGCATTTTAATTAAGTGAAGAAACAACTTTTTAAAATGCTTTTCAACTCAACAGATATTGGGAAAATATTTCGTAATATGTTCGTAATATGTGTAATAAGTAAATATAATAAATGGAAAAAACTGTTTAACCTTGTTATTTGTTTTTTAATTTCGATTGTTTTTAATTCAGCTAAGCTGTAATAAACCAACACATATTAGTATGAGTCAATTCATTTATGAATTTTGTGAAATTTCGTATTTTATAAAATAAATCAAGTCATTATCTTTGTTAATTCGAACTGTTTTCGGATCTTCATTCGGATCCCAAGTCAACCTTGATACACTTTTTTGTAGCTAAAATGCCCAGGTGAAATTACAGTAAATAATGTTCAAATCTCCGAAATGGCTGCTCCGAATTAAAGATTTCAATAATAAATTTTAGAAAATTATTTGCACGCTCTCTTATTCTATAAAGCAAGTAGATTGATGTTAATAGAGTAAAATACACAAAAAACTGTTTTATTATGTGCAGTTCCAGCGTTCAATTAATAGGAATCGCATGTCGTTTAAAACTACTTTTCTAACTCAATGCAATAACTTCGCTACGGTAAGTTTTAAAAATTACATCTGTTAAACAACTTATCGACTTTCGTAGTTTCTCAGAATATTTAATAAAGTTGTGGCATAATTCAAAATTTAGCCGTCTTTTCGTTTACTAAATGAACATTTTAAATGTATGAATTTAGTTCATTATATTATGCATACCCAGAAGGCGTTGATTCGAAATATATATGTATTATGTTTGAGAGTATTCTTTATTAAGTAGTTTAACTTTGACCAACAGAGAGCCCTGGGGATTAAGGAATTTTTCATAACTTCACACACACGTAGAGACTATTTCACACCAGATGCGATAGAAAGTAATTTTTAGTACCCACAGTAAAGAAGATAAATGTAGTTCAGGTGACGAGAAACATTCTGGTCATTTAAGGTAAATTGATTTAAGTTTGTCATGGCCTTTACAGCTTAACATCTGGCGTTTACGGACGAATGAAACACAATTTAATATCAAACGATTTTGCTAAAACTTTTGAGCTTATTCGAAAAACGACATATGAATATTTCGTTTCGTTCTATTTCCTATGCAAAAACCCTCCCAAACATCAACAGTATTTCGTTTATATGTTGTTTTAATTAGTTCTGCCAGTTCCAGTAGAGCTCGACTCAAAGTCAATTAATTGTTAATTAATTGTTATAGTTTAGTTTATATTATCTCCCTCTGTGTAAAACTTCGAGGGTGTTACTTGTACGATTTTTAAGTCAACAGCACAACATGATACGATTGGTCAAAAGCAATCGGTAGATTTGAACACTTTTTACCGATAAACATTTAATTTATTGCTCCTCATTCACATTGCGTGAATAGAGAAGTCTAGGCAGAAATATTAAATAAATTAATCGTCCTACGAACTATAATAAAATGTCAATTAATATATACTAACATTTTTAACTTGTTTGTAGATTTGACAGTGTTGTAAGGTTGGAGTTCAACCTCGTCAAGTGTCTTGTATACTTAGGCAATAAATCAGGGCAACATAGTGGCATATTTAAAAACTTTTATGCGATAGATTTGGTGTGCAGGATCTAATCAGATTATTCCAAGTAGCCACAAAATAAAACGTTTCTTCACCTGATCTCAAAATATGTAATAGGAATACTGAGTTTGAGGTTGAATTTAATTATTAAACAAGAAAGCTCTTTTTTACACACCTGAATACGTTAAAAGACGGTAGCGTTAAGCACCTCACAGCGCACAGTCTGAGTTGTTTGCGCAAATTTCTTAAATGTTTACGTGTGTTTTTTCGTTGTAAGCTATAGGCTCTCACGTAAATAAGCGAAACATATTGTCAGTCATAGATGAATAGAAACATTAGATGTATCTTCGAGTTCGGAATTTTAACTTAATATTATTTCTATTAATTAATCTAAAACTCTACTTGAATTCAAACTTTTTGCTGTGTTACATTGTCGGTTGACATACCTTGGAAAAGAGCAACAAACAGAAAAGCAAAAGTTCTTGAGACGATCATGTTCATCGATAAGAAAAGTTTTATTGCCACAAACACTTCATTTTATCACCCGCTAAACGACGTCGTTTTCGCAGAAAGTTTTAAACAAGTTAGCGGCATTAAAATCGGCCCGAAACGTCGTCTATGGAGGGCAGCGAGGTGCGTCCAGACGCCGACAGCTTGGTAGCAAAGCGACGGACTGAGTGCGAAATAAATGCGCTGACTTTCACGATGCGCAGCCAAGTTGCCGTCCTGAATTTGCAAAGAATTGCCAAAATGAATCTATGCAAAAAAGGTGCCCTCATTTCACAACTTTTTCGGATTGTTGCGTACTTTTACTACCGTATTGCGTGCCAGTGTGAGATTTGAGGTGGGTGCGTATTACAATATAAAGTTGGGAGACAATTATTTTTTGAACATACATTACAGGACTATTTACACGCTTCAATAGCGCACATTTTCAACTTTTTCGATTCGATTTCGGGACTTTGTGGACATCAAATACGGTTTTATTTTGTGGTTCGCGTAGAATGTTCAGTTTTTCAGTGTTGTAGCAGTTATAAAGCGTTGAACTTTGTTAATAAGTTTGTTTCAGATTCAAAATTAGGCAATCGTTAATTATCAGTCTAGCATTTACGCACAAAGTTTTGAGAAAAAAAGCGAAATTTCAGGCGGCTCCCATTGCTTTGTATTTGCCGCAAAACTGCAATACCTTTAATGAACATTTATTGTTGTGTTGTGGAGTGGATTGAATAGAAATTTGGCAAAACACGCAGTTTCATCAACAATCAGTTTGTTAAAGATATCAGAATTCGATCAAATTTCGAGTCTGTGAAGTAATCATCATTAGAGGCTGGAGCACCACACATCTTAGCTAATTAGAAGTAAACGAAAAATAATTAGCAAACGGTTTATATTTTCTTGCTTTACCTTTGAGCAGATGAACTTTGTTGATGTTTCATTTTATTCTTTTAAATAGTGTTGCTAATTTTATAATTTTTTGTAACTTTCTTACCGTTGAATGTACGCGTTTGCACCAAGTTTGGTATGATTTTATCCAGCTATACTTTATATTAGAATTTGACTGATAAAATTAGAATAATATTTGCTTTTTAGTTTTTGCGGCTTGTTAAGCTATTGCTATTGGTGTAMATATTAMGTCATTTGCCTATTATAATGTAGATAGAAATTGAATAAATKCTTGTAAATAAAAAATCAAGATTATCATATCAGATTACCGTACCACAGTAATKATATGRGCGAATGTTGCATAAAATTMAATTATAACTAATCATACAACATATAAKGTTCATGKCATTWATGTTAATGACGTTAATGGCATTAATTGAAAAAAAATGMGTAGAACATAGCWGCACGCAACAGTTCTTATCAGTTTAAAATATCCACTGGTGGGTGGACTTCCGATGTTCTATTACAGAGATATGGCAGTTTCATGGGTACAAAGTTACAAGCCTTTAGCCATCATTTATTAAATGGYCATCYTTTTTTATGTATTAGTAACAATGATCGGACAACCCAAATAACTTCAATCCATTGTACCATGCACATTTCGGGAMAATTCARTTCGCTCAATTTTGAGCTTAAAACGATTTGAAATACCGCATTGAAACTATCACGTAGAAATGCTTATTTCATAAATTTTACCCGCTTTTCAAATAGATATGCTGAAGAGGATTGTTTACATTACACATAAAGCCCATACAGTCTTATATGTGAATTCAGGAAACAAATGGAGGCACCTGACACTAAGTTTAAAGCAGGCATATTGTCTAAAAATAACAAACTTCTTGGCATCCGGATTGAAGATATAGTTTCTACTGATTCAGACAGTTTGTAAATAGAATTGCGGAATATCGAAATGAAATAAATTGCCTATAGTAAGTTGGCAATCAATCAATTAGTGGGATGGTTATGAATCATTTGAAGTCGATTAATTTTGCCTTATAGCAATGAATGAGTAATAGAAAAGTGTTAGACTGGAAAATTGCTAGAAAATGCATAAGCAGAAATGTGTTTTATTATTGAATCAACGTTCAATAGCAGTAAGTGTCGCACCTTGGAAGGTCTGCATCTTGACACAACATCCCCAAATGCTTTGATCTGTTCTCTTAGAGCCAAAATGTCCACATATTGTTTTGTCAGTGTTGCAAGAGACACCACGCTCAGTTGGATCCTTCATACAAAACAGCAGTTTTTCGACCAACAACATTAGTTTTGTTTGTATTTTTTTGGCAAAACGTAACCACACTACTTAATTAATATTATAGATATTTTTGCAATAAGAAACCAATTTTTCATGAAAATTATTAAGAAAATTAACAATTATTTATTTTTGATGAAACGGTGCAAAGTATCCAAAAAGTTCAAAAAAACCTAATCTATAGAAAAACGAAATTAAAGCATAAGAAAAACCCAGTCGTCAAGGAAGAAAAAATCTCTCAATTATTCGAGTATTGGGCAAGAAGCTCTCGGTTATATGGGAGAACAGCAAACGTGCGGGCAGAGAATTACTTACATGTTATTTAAATAGTCATTGAAAACTATCTCTAAGGAAAGTATAGGCAACTTGTCTATCGCATTCAACTAGGTTAATAGAAAGATTGTTGGAGACTTCTTCTTAATACATTAAGGATAATATGCAGCATATAAATTTTCTCCAAGCACATTATTGACAAACTTACTAGAACCTCTAATACCACGATTGACTTTCCACTGGAAAACGCGGCTTACTACTGAATTATTAATAATCTTAAAAGTACATATTTATTCCGTAAAGTCTAATGGTGTTATCTCATCTCTCAAAGTCTAATGGTGTTATATTTCTCATGTTTCTACCCCACACCTCCCACAAGCTCTTGGAGAAGCACTAACCTTGCTTGGGGCTTCTGAAACTGTTGAAAACGCTTATCCAAAAACAGATAGATTTTTAAAGGGCCTCTGTAATGAATCTACCAGAACTAAAACCAATCGCAGCCGAGGGATAGACTGAATATCTTAACCAAACTGGACCGTCAGATAATCTTCATAAGTCGCTAATGCAGCAAAATTTTGGCAGTCCGGAAACGACAAGACCGAATCCAGAAGCTGAATCGGGAAAGACTGCAGTGGTCTCAAATAAAGAAAAAACAAGAGTTTTGCCGAAAAATACAAAAAATGTATTGGAAGAACAATTTTTGAAGAAATAGGCAGCTGAATAGTTGAAGTATAAGCAGGAAGGTTTCGAAGAAAGTCTGCTCAACGCCGATAGCAATGAACGTATCTAACATACCACTAGAGATGAACATGAAGAATATTAGTTGAAACAACTAGTTAAAGAAGAAAAAATATGAAAATAGAAAAACAGGGATATGGAAAATGCCACAAAATTAGAAGGTATTGATACGTGAGAATATTTTACAGAAAATATGTATTCGGTGCGATTTTGCTTAAAAAATAACAAACCGTACATTTGCGAAAAACATTCCCACATCGATTACAATATTGCTGTGATTTATATGCAAATTTTCAGCGCTTAGTTATTCCTCTACGATGATCTGGACCTGATATAATTTTTTTCAAGCTTCCAGAATTTTAAAAAATAAGAACATTTTGCGATTTTTAAGCGAATTTTTATCAAGAAACAATCGATTTCCAGATACTCTTTGATAATTGACAGAACTAATTCGTAATGGTAGGCATGACATGAGCTCATGGAAAATTTTCTAAACAGCAGTTTTTCTCAATTGAATTAATATCAGCTTCCTTAATTTATCACGTTCTTACCGTACGTTGATCTCGTTTCGTGCTGTTCAAAATTTCCCTTTTTGTCCACTAAGAATGTTTAAACATGTTTTTGAATCCGTAATATGTTTATTAACGTTAATTTGTGTCATATAAACAATATCATATGTTACATACGCCACAATTAAACAAAGTTGAAAACTGTTTATGACTACAGAAAAATTTCGCTTTTTAGCTAATTGATTTGTTTTAAAGTCTTGATAATACCCAATTTCAATACAACGTGCACAAAATGCAATTGTGTATATTTTTGTTACTTATAAGGAAATCAACGGTTGTTATATTAAAAGTTCAGTAAAAATTCTACACGAACGCCACTAGGAAAAATAATAAGTTAGATTATATAGGGAGTAAAAGTATTTTGTTACATCGCAGATGCGTTCTACAATAACGAAAAAAGTTAGGGTAATTCCAAAGTTATCACGAACTTTGGCATTCTGTACATCAAAAGTTGTCCATGTGAAGTTTTTTCTTCGAAATGGCCCCAAGAAGATCCTTCTTGAATAACCGCATTCTACTATAAAATAGCTTGTATATTGAAATGTCCTGAGGATACCATTTTCAATCACACATTTAATACTTTCTATTGCATCTTCAATCCACATTTTAATAACCTCCCTATATCAAATAACAATTACTAACAAACCAATCCTTCAAAACTTATAAACGAAAACGACGACTTCTTGAAGCAAAGTAAACAGACAAAACAAATTTTATTCGATATTGGATATTGTCTACTACCCTCAAAGAAATATTAAGCTTGATATTTTCCTGCAAAATGAAATATGTTAGCGTAACACCGCTACTAAAAACCAGATACGAGAAAAATATAAATATTGTGTGCAATAACTTGCGGTTCTACTACGCGGAAAAGAACAACAAAACTTATAGCGATAATGCCTTTTTTCGATTCGAATTTTAATGAACAGGATAAATAACATTGGTTGTACAACGTGTTTTATAATGATGTGCAGATATTGGAACAACGCCTTTAGAAGTTAATTTCATATCTGGTTTTTCCAATCAACTTTTCTGATTTGTTTCTATCATGTGGCACTAGCTGATTTTCCAAATCGTCAAAACGTGATACTTGATTTTTGAAAACCTTTGGGCTTAAACATTTCAATTTTAGTACAGGTTTACATTTGTTCCAGGTTTTTTTTTATGGAGATCGTCTTTTGTTCAACTTCTTGTCATGGGTGAAATAAATTACCACCCTCTGTTTTGACCGTATCATCTTCATATATCGTATCATCCATGATATACCGCATTTTAATACATTTTCTTTATAACTCCACTTCTATTATATATCTTTTATATTGATGCACATAAGCACAAGAAGTAGCACCTTCTTATGGAAACTTAAATATTTTACTAAGTACAGGCA